AAGCGAGGGCACCCACGACCCCACGCTGCAGCTCCGGAGATCCGTGGTGGATCGCGGGGGAAGGCCGATGGATTGCGGCCGCTCCCACGCACCCCGCTCCTCCAGATCCCCTCCCGTCGGCGGCGAAGACGACGGCGGGGGGCGTGTGGTTGGGGATCGCCACACCCCGCTCGATCCGTTCACGATGGAGGAAAAAGAAAGCAATCCCACCCCTAACGGCGAGTTTTCGTCGAGGTTGTGGATGAATGGGGAGTCGTCGTCGGGGGAACCGTGGCGTGGGGTGGGCGAAACCCCCGTGATAATGCTCTGCGGTTTGGAAAAGTTCGATCCAACGGGCTCTCGATGCTCCGGCATCCCCACAGACTCCCGCGGCTGTCTACCACCGGCGACGATGCGGTTTTTAGGATCACTGTTGGATAGCAGGGGGTTGGGTTCCTTATTCACGTCGTGGTTGGGGTCTGAGGCGCCTGACGCGGTATCCATCCGATGCCCTTCCCCTCGCTGTGGGGGATTCCGGGGTAAGACAAAAGACGAAGCCGGCTCCTGTGCCTGGAAAACCTGTTCGTGAAGCATAGAGGTTCCCCTTCCGGTTGGTTGATCATGAAAATACTTGGACCTGCTGATATCCACATAGTTCGTCCGCCAACCCCCACGTACGTCAAATCGCCCACAGTAAACCACCGCGTCCTCTCCGTACGGGCCGTAGCGAATCGTCAAGGGGAGTAAACCTTCCGGATCCTCACCGGCGGCGGCGGTGGGGGTGTTGCCCTGCGCCAAACTCTCCATCGATGTGGTTGGGGTCGCGTAGTATGGCCTCTCCTGAGCCCGGCAAGTCAAGGCCTTCTCGACGGCCTTATTAATCGCATCAAGGCCTTTCGTATCCGAGGTGGGCACCCCCGCATTCCCTTGCAACTCCAGAATCGTCAACCCCACATGGGAATCGATCAAAAAACTACAAAGCAGCTGGACACACCCCAACGCGGTGAGAAGATTTCCGGAAACGATCAGGACGGAAAGGTGCCGTAGAAGCAGATGGTCATCACTCGGCGGCGTCGTACGCAGCGCGACGCACAAGCCATGAACCCCCACATCCGTCAAACCCGTCCTCCCCAGACGCAACTCGCGGAGATGCGAAAAGGCCGACGGCACGAACCGCGGCCGCATCGCCGCGTCGAAGGCGGCGTGGGCGAGGAGCTCGCTGAGGATATCCCCAATCCGCGCCTGCCCTGCAAGCGCCATCGGCTCCGACAACCCCCCTTCTCCCCCTACGCCGCGATCGTCCTCGTCTGGAGGGCGCTCCCGTAGCAGCTGCCGAACCCCTGCGCGCATCGCGGCGTGCAGGACCTTTGGCGGCACCAACGCCTCGTTAAAGGAGCCCGACACATCGAGACGGCAAAGACGCGGGCAGGCGAAGAAGAGCCCCGCGAAGAACGCCCGGCAATCCGCAGGGGAGCCCGTCATCTGACTGAGCGGCACCCCACTCAAATCCAACTCCGTCAAGGCGCAGGGTGCGCGAAGGCAGCCGAAATCCGTGAACGGCAACGCATCCAACCCCCCTCCCCCCCCTTGCGAGGGGATGACCAGAGAAGGCAAGGGGGACCCCACCAATAATACCTGCAACCGATGCGCGTAGCTCGCGCCGCGGAGTAAATCGGACAACCCCCGCTCCGAGGCCCCACAATCCCGCGCGTTAAATAAGGATAATCCGAGGTGCACGCCCGACAGCGCGTCGGAGGGATCGGGGGCCCCACCGAAACGACCCCCCTCTCCCCCCCCCACTCCCCACACCCGGGAGGGGGTTTGCTCTTCGGCTTGGATCGCTCGAGCGGTAGCCTGGCGCGCTGTCGTCGTCGGAAATGCCGATAGGAAAACGAGGGGTTGGGGTATCGCTTCGCACCCCACCCGACTCCGCGCCCTCCGGGATCCCCCACGAGCCCCGCTCACGCCACCCGAGCCCCCCTTTCCGCCGCGAGATCTCATTCACCTGCCTTACCAGCGAGGTCGGGAAGAGATAGGGCTCCGCGCGCACGCATTCCACGCGGAGTTTGGATAAAAACATCCCCAAAATCTGCACCCCGTGATCCCGTAACGGGTTCGACGCGAGGTGCACCTCCTCGAGGGTATCGGCGGCCCACAGCAGCATCTCCCCGAGCGGCGTCGCGCTCAGGTGGG